CACAAAGGTTTGGACGCTCACAAAGGTTTGAGCTTTAGTCATTTCAGTTAAAGACTACACGTTCTTTCCTATGTTTGTATGCAGAAACCCACAAAGGTCTGGGCCATAATAGTTTCAATTGAAAGTTACATATTATCTTCTATGTTTATTATTCCTGATGTTATTTTCTATGTTAACACTCCAGTTATTATTTTCATATTATTAATATTCTTTGAGAGAATGATATTTTCTATTAAAACGACTGGATTGATTATAGTTCGAAAACCTCAATATTACTGAGATTTATATCACATGTGTTTATGTTTATGCTAACATTTCCAGAAAATAAAGGTGCTTAGCATGTGTATTCTCGGAGAGGGACGAAGCACCATGATTAAAGACTTTGGGAACTGTACAAAGTTCAGAGAGATTTTGTGTACCCGTGAAGTGACTGATAGTTTAGAAAAATTTCTTTTCAGTTTAAACGATGATGACGTAATCTAGTATATTTCAGATAAAATAGTGAACTTGACTTATGATGTATAATTAAATTTTAAGAGTATTTTATCATGTCTTCTTTTATATCTGTTGTGTTAGAATCTTATTCTTTAATTTAAAATAAGAATTAAGCAGTAATGTGATATATTCTCTATACTAGCCGGTTATTGGGGATGTTATAAACTCTATTGCATGGGATGCACTCCTTTTTTGGTGGGTTCCGCAGTTATTTTTGTGAGAGTGGTAAACAAACTTTTCTTCCGCAACTAAAGAAAAGTTAAACTCGTATATATATATATATATATATATATATATATATATATATATATATATATATATATATTTTTATATATAAAATAATAATAATAATGTTGCAGGAGGAGGAGACATTTTCCCATAGACACAATAAAATGTGGGGTCCATCAATTTTTTGTTTCTCTCTCTTGATTCCACTTTCTCACTCCTCATTATTGTATCTGCAGGAAAAGCTTTCTTTTTCCTATAACATAAGGGGTATAAACCTCATATATATATATATATATATATATATATATATATATATATATATATATATATACATACGGGCTTTTTGAATATCATAATGCATGATGGGGATAAGATTCTTGTAAAGAGAAGATTAAATGGGGCCCATATTTAAAAAAAAACTCAAGCACAAAATTCGATGGGTCTATGACATGAGAGAACAATTTTCCTGTTGCAAGACAATTGTATTTTTCTATTGTTATGGACTCATATGTGAGACCCATTTGTTATATGGTCCAATAAAGGGCAATCCAAATAAAATCTGATATCCATCAAAGATATCAATCCTAATACGACAACATCAAACATAGGCTTAGGCTGCTAAAAGAGGCACAGAAGGCCCAGAATCCTAATACCCACATGTAAGCTCTATAAATAAGAGGTAAAGCCTACATGTACGTTTATTCTCTCTATTACTATTATGTTATCACTGTGCATACACACATCATCCCTTTGGCAAAACTTATTCTTCGTATTGCTTATGCACAATGATTTGTCATACTCAAGGGTATCTAATTCATAGATACCTTAGGAGGTAGATCAACCACAAAATCAGCCTAAACATGAGGCAACACTAGACTATGATGATGTTCATATAAGCGAAGATGTCTCGGATACAGCTTCCACGCCGGCTCCGGTGGGTAATCCACATAGTCAAACAATGCCACTCCAACATCAACCTGCAGATCTAGAAGCTTGTCTTACACAGACCGCTTTAAATGTGATCGGATAATGAGATGGAACATCGCGACAATCTTCAGAGGCAGGAAGATGTTCGAAGGATACAAGAGGAGATGGAGCACCGTAGTAATATCCAAAGGCAATAGGATATTCGAAGAGTGCAAGAACTGGAAGAGCATGTAATGCAAATTAGAAATCAAGAACATGATGCAGGACAGATCCAAGATGAAGAAAATAGAAGAAGAGAAAGGCATAGCTAGACCATGAGCCCAAGGAATGCTAATGATACAAATAATCAGGTCCGAGTTAATACATGTTATAACCTGGATAATCAAATTCGGGTTGGATTTACTGAAGGACGTGGTGTAGCCAACACTGGCCGAAATTCAAATGTAGATAATAAGGTCCAGGTTGAAAATAATGATGGTCGCATCTTAGACAACGATGATCACAATGCTAATGAGATAGTTCGTAACCTGAATGCTGAAATAGGCAAGAATATGGAGTCTAATCGGTATGAAGTTGAT